CCATCGGACAAAGGAGGTGTCTCAAACTTGGATTTTGCATTATGAAATTGCAAGGTTTTTTGATTTTTTGTTTGAAGCTTCTTTTGTGTACACCTATTCAAATGGTTCCAAAGACTAGTTGTTGTAGAAGACGCTGACTTAGAAAGGAGTGTTTTACAATGTATACATTGTAGCTTTATACTTCCATCCTTTGCAGTAACTTCAGTAAAATCAAAGTGGGCTATTGATACCCTCTTTCTTTTCTTCCTTTGAAATTGTTCTTGATCGTCATTCTTTTCACATTCCTTCTCATCATCACCTTTTTCATCTCCAACCTCTATATTTTCATTTTGTATACCATCATCATTAACCTCCACATTAGCATCCAAGTCAGGTACATTATCACCTTCAAGGCCTCCATCATTAACTTCATTAAAATCACCATAATTTATTTCCTCATATTCTCTAACGTCATCTCCTTGTTTTTGCTCATTTGGATTTGAAGATTGAATAGCCAAGGAAGAATCTACTGCCCACAAATTCAATAATTTCTTTTTGAGTACTATAATAATATAAAATAAATAATTTTCAAATTCAATTCACATAATCAGTTTGCTGTAGGCTTCTAATTATCACATGGTTGACACTAACAATTACTAATTACTATAACAAACTAACAATTACTAATTACTATAATATATATATATATATATATATATATATATATATATATATATATATATATATATATATATAAGATGTATATCTAACAGAGAAATAACAATATATATATATATCAAACAATATATATTTTTAACAGAGAAATACTGTAAACATACTGTAATTCTAACAGAGAAATAACAAATAAGATGTATATTTTATAGTTAACAAATAACAGAGAAATACTGTAAACATACTGTAATATATATTTGTTTGTATATCTCGAATAACAAATAACAGAGAAATACTATTGTGTTGTATTGCTATTACCATTGTTATCGGTCGCCGTCATGCCCTTGCCATCCATTGCTGCCGGAACAGTCACAGATCTGGAGTGTTGGCGTTGGAGTTTCTCTAGCGCGGAACCGTCATGGATCTTGAGATTGGAGTGACTTCGGCGACCGGAAGTGCTGACTGCGACTGACTGCAACGGCGTTGGAGAATGGCGGCTTGGAGTTGGAGGAGTTGAACTGTTGGAGGCGTTGCTTCTTCTCTATTTTCTCTCAAAATGATGATAACACCGTGTTAGGGACTTAGGGTTTATTTTTAGTTTTTTATTATAAAAATATAATATAATATAATATAATATTATAGATTCTATTATATATATATATATATATATATATATATATATATATATATATATATATATATCGGAATATATTCGATTCGAATACTATTCGAATATATATATATATATATATATATATATATATATATATATATATATATATATATACACGAATAGTATTCGAATCGAATATATTCCGATTCGTATTCGGATTCGAATAAATTTCAAATCAATATAGGTATTCGAATTCGGATTTGAATTATTCAAATTCGAATCACGAATCGAATTAAAATTATTTGATTTGTTTACACCCCTACATAGAACACATTTTGCAATAATAAATATTTTCCAGAACAAAGCAATAATTCTAATTTTCCTTTACCACTTACCTCAGAGACGCTTGAATTTTCCATGAACACTTGTTCTCCGCCAGTGATGGACTCGAATGCTTTGATTAGATCTTTGTTGTAGTAGAAGTGTCGTGAAGCTCACGTGTCCACAACCCACTCGTCTGGATGTCCAACCATGTTGGCCTCGGTTATCACTGCTGCTACTATGTCAGAATTCTCCGTGTTTTCTAGAAGGTTAGTTTGGCTTTTAGGCATTTCGTTGTTTGGCTTCTGGCCATTTTGACTTGTAGTCCCTTTGCGGTGATAACACTGGGCAGCACGGTGGGCTCGTTTCCCGCAAACGAAGCACTCACCATTACTTTTCCTTTTTTTTTGTTTTTTTTTTTTTTTTTTGAATTTTCCCACTTTTGACACGGTTGTTGCTATTATTTTTATAATTTTTCTTTTGGTTTCTACTACTACTGTTACCAGCTTTTGCCTTATCAAAACCAGTGTTAGTTTCAACAACATTGGCTTTAACATTGTCAGTAAGAATAACAGACCTGTGAACCAGCTGATTCTCTTCTTCGATGTTCACGCTGTTGATCAGTTGTTGTAGTGTGTAATTGCGTCGGTCATACTTCATTTTATTTTTGAAGTCCACCAACGAGTTTGGCAGTTTGCCAATCAAGGAATCACATTGGAAAACATCATTCACCACGCCACCCTCTGCCTTCATGTTAGCAACTAGGTTCTCAAAGTCGTGCACCAACTCAATTATTGGTTTGGAATCTACCATCTTGAAATGTAACCACCGACCCACATCGTATTTCCGTCTTCCTGCATCCTCAACACTGTAATTTTCAATCATTAAATCCCAAATTACCTTTGCTAACTTGTGCACCGATAACATGTCAAATAACAGGTCTGAAACGCATTGGAGAATTATTGAACGAGCTGTTTTGTTGTCGGCAAGGGTGGAGGCGGAGACCAGAGAGGAGACGTGAAATCTTCCGTTGTCGAAACTCGGAAGTTGTCGGCTGAGTAAATTGGCGGAGACCGGAGACTGCTAGGGCTTGGGGAATGGGGATTTGGGAAGCGTTAATTAATTTTTAATATTATTTAATTTTTAATAATAATAATAATAATAATAATAATAATAATATTATTATTATTATTATTATTATTATTATTATTATTATTATTATTATTATTTTTATTATTATTATTATTATTATTATTATTATAAGGCTCGCGAGCGGCTAGATGAGCCACGAGCCTAGAATAATTAGTTTCGGCTCGATGTCGATTATTAAATGAGCCGCTCAAGTTCTGCTCAAGCTCGATTTTGACCGAGCTCAAGTCGAGCTTTGATCGAGCTCATTTAAACCCCTACCTGAAAGTGAAATTAAATCACTAAACGAAAAAAAGTGCAATTAAGCCACTGAACACTCTAAATGTATGTAATTCTACCTGATAGCACGTTACTATCCATTTCATCATCAGGTTGCTTGCTTAGATGGATGGTGAGTTAGCATTTTTTAAATAATTTTTAATAATAAAGTTTAAAATAAAAAATAAAAAATAAAAATAAAAAAACACTTTTTTTTCTGTTCATTTGTCTTCATTTCACTATTTGTCTCCTTTCTTTTTGTTGGTAGTGTGTTATTTGCAATTGAGTTACTGATGGTAGCATAAATAACGTCATGCAATGAGATTATGGTGTAGGAAGCTGTGAATTTTCTTTGTTATGTATATGATTGGGATCTTAGTTGTACTATGATCTCTTGATCTTGCAAGCTCATGTTGATATTTTGCAGTGGTAGTTTGTTCCCCTACATGTTTTATGTGGAAGTATTGAATAAAATAGTAATATTTATTATATTTGTGTAAGGTTTATGTGTAGTACGTCTTGTTCTATTTTCATAATTTGTTACTTGATAGTAACAACAATAATTTCATCAATACTGATGCTGCAACATGTTTAGTTTCATCAATAATTTTCACATACATTTTGTACATGTTCATATTTTTAGAATTACTAAGAATGAGTGTAGTACTTGATTCTGTGTGTGTGTGTGTGTTTTTTTTTTTCTTTTTTTTTTAATTTTTTTATTGAATTGATATTAACCTTTGAGTTAAATTATTTTCTACTTTGTGCATAAACATTTTTTAAATAGTGATTACATCCTATATACCAAGTATTTTTGTTGTGAAGGTTGATGTTGATTTTGCTTGTAATCTAAGTAGGTTGGGTCTAGAAGATGAAATGAATTGTAAATTTATATTAGTTCTAATCTATTTAATGAATACACAATAATTATTTTACATACAAGATAAATGAATGAATCAACGGTGGCCCTTTTGAAATTTCTTCACTTTTAGGTTTGCCAAATTGATTACAACATTGTTGTAGTCTCGACATCTTTTCAATGCATCAAGTGTGTTATGATGTTCTATTGCCTTACATTAACAGTTTTAATAATGAGTTTTACATTTACCTATTATTATCAACATAAAAACATACCAGTCTTTGAGGTGTTCTGCTCGGGGTTCATTTGGTTCAACCATTATTGTTGAATGAGTTATTGTAGATAAAGAAATTCATAGTTTAAGGAATAAGGTCAGATAAAGTAGTAAAAATTTGAACATTTTTGTAGTCCAAAGATATTACGAGTTAGTTTCCCACTTCAATTTGTTAGATTATTTGAATACCATCTTTGTCAACAAATCTCTAAAGTAGTTAATATGATTGGTTTCAAATTATTTATTTATTTATCTTTTCATGGTATTAATAAAATACTTGGTAAATAAATATATAACATTACCAAAAAAAAAAGAGTTAATTCCAGCAATGGTCCTCTGACTATTGTGATTTTCAAAATTTAGTTCTCGTCTTTTAATTTGGACGAAATAAACCCTTGACTATTAGATTTGTTCCACCATTGGTCCTTTCGTTAAACAACCGTTAGATGGACGTTAGTAAAGGGCTTAAATGGTCATTTCTGATGAGTTTCTTTTCCCTCATGTTGGTGGAGGGTACGTATTTATTATTTTCAACATAAAAAAGCAAGAAACAGAATTCATTAATGGCCATAAGATCACATCTAGCAGGACACGTTCTATAATTTTTTTATTCCATTAATGTCCGTAAGATCTCATCAAGCTCCGATCCGCCATTTTAAAGAATTCATAGTTTCAATTCGCAGTGAAAACTACAACACCCAGATGCTCAAGAAGAAGAACATAATCGACACAGAGGTGAACTGAATTTAATTTGTACTCTTTTTTTTTTGGTATATATTTAATGAGAGCTGAAATGGAGGAAAGGGAAGGAAGATCTTTGTCTGAAATGCCGACGTGGGCTTTCGCCACCATCATCACCGCTTTGGTCTGCGCCAGGTTCTTGATTCATGGCGGTTTGAAGAAGTGTGGAAAGGTAAAATGCGTAAACTTTTTATGAAATAAATGTATTGGTTTCTTAAATTCCACCTATTGAAACATACCTATTTCGGAGCTCGAAAATTTGTTTATAAATGTCTACTTTTGGATCATAGTGGCTGGACCGAACAAAGAGGAAACCTCTTCTTGCCGCATTGGAGAAAATCAAAGAAGGTATAATGGAGTTAATGTCTCTTTTATTGTTTAGTTTAGCTGGATACTTATATGGTTTTGTTTCAATTCTGGGTGGAATTAGAGTTGATGGTTTTTGGCCTTCTGTCATTGCTGATGGGGTATTAGATAATTTTTGTTGCCAAGATTTGCATCAAGTCATCAATTTTAACATGCCGCTTTTATCCATGCTATAGATGGGATATAAAGGAGGCTACCATTGTAAATCACACTGTTTTCATGAGGTTTACTCATTTGAATGTCTCGGTTTGAAGGGAGTTGATGGAAAATGCCCTAAATCAGTTTCTTCCACCGGTAAGAATGCAATGTTTATGTCATCTTTTTCCACTGGTATACATTATCTAGCTTCTTCTGCATCCAGTTATAGCTAAGGCCTAGAAGAAAGAAGTGTGTTTCAACACCGCCGTAACAAATGAACAACAAGGCAGTTTTCCGACTCTTGGTTTGCTGGTTAGCGGCGGTCGCCATGTTGACTGGGATCTACAGTCACTCTCAACCACCTAAATTAGCTTAGGCAATTGAGAATTTTAGAAATTGGATACTGAACAAGTGGAATGGAAGGGGAAGATGAGACTAGCTATGGAAAGTACTCTTTTGCCCCTTCACTTAACGCCTGTCCAATGCTAATTTAACGGAAGGACCAATTGTGGAACAAATCTGATAGTTAAGGGTTTATTTCGTCCACATTAAAAGACAAGGACTAAATTTGGAAAATCACAATAGTCAGAGGACCATTGCTGGAATTAACTCAAAAAAAAATTATAACTTTGATATTTAATTATTACAAGATATTATAAGAGAAAGTAATGGATAATGTAATGAATATCAATTGATGAATTTGAGTGTAAAGAATCTTAGCATTGGAGAAAATAAAGACAATATAACTAATGAAATTATTTCTTCTCTTATTTAATTTATTGATAATGAACAATTTTTTTTTTAAAATAAATACATTGTAGACACATAATTTTAAATTAAAGCATTGCATATGTATAATTTTTTTTTTTTTGTAGCTACTAATTTATTTAATTTAATAAGATTAAAATAGAGTAAGGAACTTAATTATGCCAACTTTGATCGGAATGAGGTTCGAACCTAAGACCTTTCTTATTAAAATCATTGAGTAAGTTAACGGATAATATAATTTTTAACAGAAAAGTTAAGGGTGTGTGAGTATTTAAGGGAAGAAAATCATATAATTAATGATAAATTTTTTAGGAAAAATTAAAATTAATAATTTGACCGTCATTTTTTCCTACCCATTATAGGCCTAACCTATTTAGGCTCTTATTAGTATAGTAGATATAATTATACAGAGTGATGTATAAAACTGTATTAAAACTATCATATATCATAATGTAAGACTAAGAAAATGTTCACATCAAGTTTTGATTCTTTACACTTGATCTCAACTAGGTCAATTTTTTTAAAAAAAAATTATTATTAAAAATTATTTAAAAATGCCAACTCACCATCCATATAAGCAAGCAACCTGATGAAATGGATGGTAACATGCTATTAGGTGAAATTGCATACATTTGGGGTGTTCAGTGATCTAATTGCACTTTTTTTTTTTTTTTTTTTTTTTTTTTTTATCAGTGGCCTAATTGTACTTTCAGACTACGTTCAGTGACCAATTTAAACCTTATTATTATAAGAAATATAAATGTGTATTTATAAATATTTTTCTTTAAATGTGTATAAATATTAGAGTAATTGTTTATTATATTTGTTTTAGAAAAAATATCTTTAATTTTTTTTAAAAAAAATAGAAAACTGATTTTGAAATGTTTTGTAAAATGTTCATAAATTTGTAGAAGGAAATGGGTTTGAAATATAAAATGCTAATTTCGAGTTTTTCTGCAATATAAGTACTAAAATAACAATACAGCTGAAAAGCACGTCGTCATTGAGGATGTTTTATTGTCAAACCCATCTTTGACTTAGTTTTATTGTCAAACTCATCTCAATTATAGGTTTTGTTTATCCCTACAATCCTCTCTCATTTTAAAATTGGATCATTTTATCATACTAATATATTTACAATTTACTCACTACTTTTTAATATTTTTGCAATCTCAACTCACACTAGTGGAAATTATGGAATTTCCGACCACCTAAAAGTGATCTTAAATCAAGTCAAAAGCCTTGTTCCGACCACTTTTGGTATCCTGAAAAACCTTTGTTGCTATTTCCGACCACTTTTTGGTATTAACTTGATTTAAGATCACTTTCAGGTGGTCGGAAATTTCATAATTTCCAGTAGTGTCATTTTCAATAATAATAATAATAATAATAATAATAATAATAATAATAATAATAATAATAATAATAATAATAATAATAATAAAATTAACCCAAAAAGGTGGTTTATAAGAACAATAATTTTGGAAAGAATTTACTATTGATCAGTTCAATCTACAATGTGTAGGAAGAGATGTATTTATAAGAATACAAAGATTCCTAGTCAGGTGAAGAATGATAAAAAGTAGATTTACGATAATACTGAGAGAGGTAGATTGAATTCTAGTGTAACTAGAATACATAGTTCTAATATGCCTCCTCATCAAGTTGAAATTTCTCTAGAGAGAACATCGTGCTTTCCCCTTATCATTGAACTTTTCTATGGTTAGTGACTTGGTGAAGACGTTTACCAGTTAGTCTTTTGTAGAGATATAGTTTACTTGTAGTTCCTTTGATGATACTTTGTCGTGAATAAAATGGTAGTCTATTTCAACATGTTTAGTTTGAGTATGAAACACAGGATTTGTACACAAATATGTAGCACCACGGTTGTCACACCAAAGTTTTGGTTGTTTTTGCATAGTAAGACCAAGTTCATTAATTAAAGCAACCAATCATGTTACCTCTACTAAGACATCGACTATAACTTTGTATTATACTTTTGCTGAGGATCTAGCAATTGTTTTTTTTTTTTTTTTTTTTTTTTTTTTTTTTTTTTTTTGCGACAACCCATGAAATTAGATTTTTACCCTTAAAGACAGTAAAACCACTAGTGGACTTGCGGTCATTAGGACATCCCACCATCCCACCCAATCAGAGTCTAAAAATGCATGAATGTCATCTGAGTCCGATTTCTTAAAACTAGCCCATAGTCTAGAGTAGCTTTGACATACCTTTGCACATGTTTTAGGGCAACCTAGTGGTTATTGGTTTGAGAATATTTCATAAATTGACATAGTTTGTTTATGGAAAATGAGAGATATGGATGAGTGATGGTTAGATATTGAAGTGCACCAACTAAGTTGCGATACTGTGTGGGATTGTCATATGGCTGAGATGAGTTTGTTGCACTAAGTTTGCTATTAACTGGAATTGAAGTGGAGATTGGGTTGCAGTGTTCCATTCCAAATCTTTTTGAGTATTTCAAGCATGTACCTTTGTTGTGATAGGATCATCACCAACTTGTTTTGAATTATCTCGATTCCCAAGAAGAAGCTTAGAGGTCTGATATCTCGGATTTTGAAATTTTCAGCTAGTCTGCTTGTTATGGAAGCCAAGAGACTTTCGTCACTGCTCATTATTAGAATGTCATCAACATAGACAAGTAAATAAATTTGAGCATTAGCAGTGATTTGAGTCTAATTGTGCATATTTCTAGTATTGATTTGATTATATTTCTTAGGCTTGAGTTCATGAATTTGGTAATTTAATTGCATAATCCCTTGTTTTATCATTAAGATATGGTTTTACACTTGATTTGAATGTTTTATGTTGTTTGTTAGTGTTTTGGATCCATTGTAGATCAAGTGCAAAAGCAAGGGAAGTTCTAGGACGAGTTTAGAGCCAAACAAAGTCAAGGTGAAGCTAAGGAGGTGGCTAAAATTCTTGAAAGAGAGCCAAAGAGTGGTGCTTTCAGTGGATTTGATCACAAGAACCAAACAAGGGAAAAGTGGAGCAAAAGAGCAAAGAGTTGTAATTCCTGCTGACTTCGGCGGCAACTTAGTATTTTGACCATATATCATGCCAGGAGGTGATTCTTGCGCCATAGGAAAGAAGACTCGAAGGGATACAACATATGTTTGCGAAAAAGACTCTACGCGTCGAAACTTTCCAGTAACGTTTCATCAGTAAAAATTCGCGCACAGATTGGCGACAGTTCGGTTTTTGGCTCATATCTCTGCCTATAAATATCCAAATCAAGTGATTCTTGCGCCATTGGAAATAAGACTTTAAGGGATACAACTCTTATAAAGACATCAAAGTCTATATCTGAAGAGAAAAGGGTCTAAATAAGCCTGCAAACCGGACCTACGGCCCAGGCGCGATTTCGGCCCAGTTTTGCACGGAAAATTCCTATTTCTACCGGGATTGGTTCTAGCTTTATACCTACTATAAAATCCCACCTTGCTGAACCCTAATATTCATTCAGAGATCTTTGGAGACAAGAAGGAGAAAAATCAAGAGCCACACGTTGTCTTGGGAATCAAGAAGAAGACAAGGGAGATTTGTGAAAATTGTTGGGATAAAGTACAAATAAGCCACTGTACTATTTGGGAAAAAGCAATTAAGCCATCGAACTCAAATAACCCCCAAATAAGCCATTGAACTCGAAAAAAAAGAGCAAATAAGCCATTGAACCTTGAAAAAAAGAGCAATTAACATTTTTTTACAGGTTAACTCCAGGTTTTTGCTTATTGGATTGCCAAATGTTTATTTTATTGATGTTTTTTTTATTATTATTATAATCCACCTACATAGTAATATATTTTAAAGTAATTATAATGAAAGTAGTTTCTCTCTCCTTGCGACTAGGGTTTTCTGCGCTAAGCTCCCTGCGATCTAGGGTTACGACAGCTTTCTTCGAGTTCGGCAACGGACAAGAGTGCGAAAGCCATGGATGTTCAGCGAAATATTGACTCCACGACGGATATTAGTTTGGAAGATGAGGAGGAGGGCGTACGGTTTGAGGATGACGGGTATGGCGTCGGTCCGCAGCCGCAGGAACGCCGGACGTGGACAATTGTCGGGAGGTTTCTCACGGATCGAATCTTGAAGGTTGATATGATGAAAAGAGTAATGGCATCGGCTTGGCGTCCCCTCATGGGAATAGAGATAACAGATGTGCTTCCAAACTTGTATCCCTTCACTTTTTTTGACGAGGCAGACATGCGCCGCGTGGTGGAGGAGGGGCCGTGGGCGTTCGAGAATGCTACGTTTCTTTGCCAAGTCTTGAATGATGGACATGATCCGGAGCAAGTGGTCTTGAATACGGTGGACTTCTGGTTACAAGTTTATGATATTCCTTTGGGCTACCGGATAGTTAAGGTACTTGAGCGAATTGGGGATTTTGCGGGGGTGTTCTTACGCTATGATGAACGTAATTTTGAGAGACCGTGGACCTCGTTTTATCGGGTACGGATAACACATGATGTAACCAATCCACTTAAGCGTCGT